CTGGCACCCTTTCAGCAGAAACCCGATCCCCATGCAGGCTTGGCACAACAGCTGAATAACATGGCAATAACTCTTTCAGCAGCATTTCAACCCATAAATAGGGCTTCCCGAGCGACTCCTTGAAGTGAGGCAAGGAGGATACAATGATTTTTAGTGGAAAAAAAAAAAAGGCAAAAAAGAAAGGAGCGAGAGTGCGTGAAAAGTGAGTCCGAGGAGGCAGCTCGGTTCGGAGCAGATCAAAGCGTGTCGTGGGGATGCTGAGCGTGGTTTGGTTATAACCCGAGTGCAGGATTGCCTCAAAAGGAAAGAAATGCTCTCGAATTTTTTACTGTCTCGGTCCCGTTTTATAGCAGCCCCATGGAGGTGGGATGAGCGCCTTCCTGAGAGCGAGGGCCCTTCCTAACCCCGGCGAGGACACACGGACACATAATTTTAGCTTTTCACCACCTGTTTGGAAAGCTCCTATAGCCCAGTGCTATGGGACGGGATGGTTTTTACAGGCATGTACCCCGGGAGCTGCTTATTTGCATTATGCATGGACCGGGGCCTAAAATAATCTGCAGTGACGCACATTTTTTTTTTGCTGTGATTTTTTTCTTTCCCCCTTCTTTCTCCCTGCTTTTCCAGGGCTCCATTTTCCTGAACGTGCCGTGACTTTTGAGGAGCATGCATGGCTAACCAGCCCCAGGGCTCCCGAGCCCCTGAATCAGCACGTCCGCCTGCAGACACGGAGCCGAGGGGGAGCGCTCCCCCCCCGGGCCGTGACACGGCCACGGCGGGGAGAAGTGCCCTTGCGCTCTGCCTTGGCTTTCATCTGCGAAGCGTGTAGCTGCAAGTGCCGCGTGTTTACAAATGCAGGCATTGCAAGATCCCTTGAACTGTGTCCTAGTACAAAAGAGGCTTTGAAACAAGAAACACGTTGTCATGGCATGCTCCAGGCCAGCAGCACCAGACTGAACCAGATAATTGCTGTTTCTGCTTTAGCTGCTTCATCGTGGAAAAAGCAGCAGGTCTCGAGCAAGTCTTTTTTTCCCTTTTAGACATTTTTGGTGAGATGCTTGGGATGGAAGGAGAGGGTCGGGAATGCCTGGGCAGAGGCGGGATGAGCCCAGCCTGTTCTCCAGGGCTGGAGGGAAATCACTGTGCTGTGCTCAGGTCATGTAACCATAGCCTGCGGAGCTGGTGACGCTGACCCTCGCTTATGTGACATGGGCTATTCATATTTTGTAGCCCTGACTCGTGGCGTGCTGCTGGAGCCAGGAGACGCAGCTCTCACAGCTCCCCCCATGCTCCAGACTTTTCCCATTGCCCTTTTCCGGGTGCTTCATGGCAAACACCTCTCAGTGCCAGCCAGCCCACTAAGGGGGCTGATTGTCCCCTACATTGAATAAGTCTGTTACCACCCTGAGCTTGGTGGCCTGGCAGCAGTATTTCTGCACCTCTAGAAATGATAGGCACGATGGAAGGGGTGCCTGCACTCTCGTGCCCACATTCCCAAGGCACTGCACTGCCATGCTGGGGTTTTAAGAAATGGAAGGTAATATTTCTACTTGGCACTTTGAGATAATTTATTTCTTATACGTTTCTCTTTCTCCTGGGTGTGTTTTTGCTCTGGGCACAACACTCTGGGGAGTCAGTTATTGCCATTATGGCCAGTGCCTTCAGAAACAGTAAAGCTCTGGCTGGGAAGGGCTTTTCACTGCATGTGCCTCGTTAAAAACTGGAGAAGGCTGGGTAATGCCACACAGCTGAGGGAAAACAGGAGTTTGGGGCTAGTTTGCAAGAAGCAGCACCAGGGAATGCCTGAGAATAACAAGGTTGATCCCTTATCTCCTGTGGTGTGTGCTGCTGCCCTTGGGAAAATGGGACCTGGATGGGGTCTGTCCCAGATTGGATGCTCCTGGCCTCCCTGTACTTGATTTGTTACATCCACATGGAATCACAATCCTGCCTGGAGCTTGGGATGCCAACGGTCCTGTGGCATGGCTGGGTTAAGGCAAGTCTGTTAAGGCAGGTGAGTGTCTGCTGTGGGATGCTGGGTCCTCAGTCAGCTCAGTGTTGCCCTATGCCCGTGTGTGTCTGTCCCTCCCCTGTGGCCAGAGAACCCTGCTCTGTGGGGTGAGACCAGGAGAGAGCAGGGTCAGCTCTCTGCAGCCTCAGGCTTGTCCCCAGAGGTCCATTTTACCTGCTCTCCTGACCTCTGCTTTTATTCCATCACACAGCATGGGACTCTGCTTTACTGTTTTCTGAACAACAGCTCAAGCTAAACAGGGGTGGCAGCACTGTGGCCACCGGAGCTCTCACACGAGAAGAAGTAATTAGTTTTCCCTCTGCAATACAGCTTTATCTTTCCTTCAGCATGTGGTGCTGCTGAAAGTGTTGCAGTGCTCCCTTCTCCTATGCAGGGCTCTCCCGGTAGCCTCGCTCCATGCCTCCTTTTAGCAGCAGCTAGGAAAAAGGCAACAATATATTCTGCTTTGAAACTACTGATTAATATGCAAACAATTAGGCCTGAAATATTACTTACCCTTGTCACGGGGCTCGTATTTGCACTTTTGCCTGAGGATGTGTACAACACGAATGTAGAGCTGAGCAGCTTATGGAAGATTTAACTCTTATTTCTATTCTTGACACTGAATCACTAATAAGGTTATGCCCATGTTCAGGGCCTTTCCCAGAGCTCTCCTCATGCTGCAGCAGGGGGTTAGAAACCTGCTGGCAGAACTTTACTTCAGCTATCGATTGGTGTGCAGCAGGGGTAGTATTTCACCCCGAATGGAAGCAGTCACTGATGATTATCGCGTGGTATTAGCACATGTTGTTGTGAAATTGGTATGATTTGAGATGAAATGTGAGCTATGGGCATAGGCAACCACATTGTATTGTATTCTAACTAACTGCATTACGGTGCAAGGGGAATGCTGGGGCTTGGAGAGCTATTAGTGTTGCTGGTACCACACTGATTAAAAACCCCAGCTCGCTCTTGCTCCCATTGAAATCAGTGGGAGGTCTGTCATTGCCTTCAGTGAGTGCTGGACTGGATCCAGATTTCACTTCATAGTATGCATTATTCCATAGGATTAAAGAGGTACAGGGAGTGGAATTCCTCTCCCTCGCTGAACTCTGCTGCTTAGATGTCTGCCTCGGAGCTGGCTGGGACACAAGCACCCGACCTGGTTTCAGTGTCTACCCCAGGGAGCAGATGAGAGGTGTTTTCTCTGCTGTGCCTGCAACAGCCATGTGAGCAGCTGCAGCAGTGCCAAGATGTAACGCTCCCAAAGGTCAGCCAAGGATGTGGTGCTGCTATGGTGGTGCAGGTTAAATGTGAGGCGCTGGGCAACCCGCCTTGCACAAGCATACCTGGTACGGGGACAAGGCAGGCAGGGATTCTTGTAAGCATTGCCTGCACAGTCAAAGCGTTTGGCCCTGCCAACACACCAGAGTGCCGGTTCACAAATGAGAAAGCCCAAGCACGCCCCGAGAGCCTCAGAGGAGGCCCTGGCTCTGGTCAGGAGTCGGTTGGGGTGGGATTTTCTCTGGTTCTTGGTTTCAAGCAGCCCTTTGACCTCAAAGCCATACCGGCTGCTCTGAGGCTGAATTCCCCTTGCGGTGTGGGAGGGCTCCCCAGGGCACCACGACAGCTGCCAGCACGGATCCCACCACAGCCCTGCCTGTCCCCATCCCTGTCCTCACTGCGTGCCTGGCCCCAGTGGCCAAGCTTTCGGGTGGAGGATGAGTCAGGGCCCTGTGCATGAAGGGCTGTGGAGGGAGGGGGTGGCAGTGACCCCCCCATTGCTGCTGGGGGACTGAAGCAATCTGTTTATCATGGAAAAATTGCTCTTTGCAGCAATTCAAATGGAAACTTCCCAGAATGAGTGCTGCAGAGCTTTCCTCTTGAATCACCGGCCCCAAAGAGCTGCTTTCTAAGATGATGCCCTTGGTAAAGCTGTCATCGGCCTTGGCTGGGCCTTGGTGGCTCCCTCCCTGCAGCACAGCTGGTCTTGGTCTCTCCTTGGGCCAGTTTCTATCAGAGCATCTCTGCTCGGTTTGGCTGGATGGCAGTGTCTGATGAGCTGAGGCAGGTCCAGGAGTGCAGGAGCCCCTGAAGGCCACAGGCTGGGGCTCAGCTGGGGGCCTGAGCCTGACTTTTGATCTGCAGACTACAGCAGGGGGTTTCTCCAGGAGGGATAGCTAAGTGGGCACCAGCAACTGAGGTGTCCCACAAGCCACACACTTGATTTGGAAGCTAAAAGGCCAGAGGATGCTGGTTCATCTGTCACCCCATGCTGCGTGCTGAAAGGCTCTAGGGGTGACAGGTACCATGCTCGCCTCAACTCAGGGACCACCGCAGGATGGAGGCTCTGACAGCAGCATCCTCTGCCATCTCATGAAGTCCATGTGCATGTTTTCCCTGCCCGTTGGCTGCCCATCACCCTTTTCCATGGTTTAAATGAGTATCCAAAGGTCATGGAGATCTCAACCTCTGCCCGGCGGCTCACGTAGCTGAATTAATAAGGCGTGAGTATGTGATGCCTGACTAATCTGCTCCCATGTGCAAACCCATTGGGTGCTTTGCATCCAATGCTCACACGGCCACTGCAAAACCTGTGCTGGTGAGAGCACAGAGCACACGCATTGCCCACCATGCTGTGCTTTGTGTGAGCCCCTCACCCGGCACGTGGGATGCTCCTGGGGTGTCCCAGCAGGGCAATGGGCAGGGCAGCGGGCACGCTGCCTCTGCCGCAAGGCATTTCCGGGTCAGCATAACCACAAGTGCATGAAAGCTCTGAGTTGTCAGTCTTGCAGATTGGGAAAAGATAATGAAGGAGCCGGGCGTTGCAAGGGGTGGGTGGCCATGGAGCTGGGCACCAGCAGGAAGGAAGCACAGGTTATGGTAGCCCCCTGCCACCCTTGGAGCAAAGCTGCCAGGGATTTTTCTGTGTTTATTCCTGTCGTCCTGCAGTGCTCATCCCCATAGTAACACAGCAGCCTGGCACTGCAGCAGCCGGTGACATCTCTGCTCCTCAGACAGGGACCAAGGTCCTGTGAGGCCCATGCCGTATACCAACACCTCAGTGGGACACACAGTCCCAAGGGCAGCTTTACTGTGCTTCTGAGCAGGGCAAGTTTTCACTGTGCCTCTGCAGCCCTGGAAAAGAAGGAAAGAGCCAAGAAGGATGGCACAGGCGTGGGGCTGGCCAGGACCTGGTAAGAGCTTGCCCATGGTGAGGGACGGCTGGTGGTGGCAGATGCTTGTCCCCAGGGCTGGTGGCAGAGGCTTGTCCTTGGTGCCCAGAGCAAGTGGCTGTGCCTGGGGCACTCTGGTGTGAATGCAATGCCAACAGCCAGCCAGGCACCTGCTCTGGCAAAGCCAGGTCAAGAGTGTGATAAGCACAAGCTCTGGCTGCATCACACTGGTGAGGCGTGAGCCACAGAGGGGTTTTCCAGCTGCAGCCAGGCTCCAGCAAACACCTGGGCACTCGAGGTCAGGAGGCATTTGCAACATAAGCTTTTTGAATCCAGGAGCGTGGCAAAGGTGTTTTTAAAGAGAGTGGCAAGGCTGAGATCTCCATGCAGATCCCGAGCTGCTTGGAAGATGAGTCAAAGGATTCCTGGAACAATTACAGCTGCGAGGTGCAGCAGCACTGATGCATCCACCATCAGCAGCAGGGCCAGGCACCCTCGGCCAGCTGCTCGTGCTTTCTGTTTAATAAGGCATATTAGGCAATTTCCCATTAAAAACATTTATGGGAATATATAAATATTCACTTATACAGAGCTTGCCTGCCCCTTTGCGCACAGAGTGGTGGAGAGAGTGACTTGAATTCTTATAAATCTATCAAGACAGCTTGCGATGGAGCCTGCTGCATGGCAAGGAGATGGATGTCCTGGAGCCCCAGTGGGGATCGACATCCTTCAGGCACCAGGATGGGAGACCTTGCTCAGTGGGATGAAGTGTTCTCTCCGAGCAGGACAAGGGCACCATGGGATGTGCGCCGTGTCTCCTGGTGCGCAGCTGCAGGCAGTGTGGGCAGGGTTTTCCCTCGTGTGATTTCTCTGTGCTGGCCGCAGGAAGAGCACGCACAGGCCCGATCTGGATTAAATCAAAGGAATTTTTTTTTCTTCATTTGCTGTCTTACGCACTGACCACCAAACCACATCCTTCGAGCCCGAGCCCGGTGCACTGAAACAAAAACTAGGCCACGGCTTTTTGCTCTTGCCTTTCTTTTCTTTCTTTTTCTATCTTTTCCCTTAGTGCATCAGTTGGGTGCAAAGCTGGCACATGGCTATTCTCCAGCCCCTCCACTCCCCATGGAGCCCAGTGTACCCCCATGGGATGGCCCTTTCCTAGGGCAGCCTGGTGTTTCCCCCACCCCAAGCAAAGCACTTTCAGCTCCATGTAAAACCTGGGAACTATGCAGATTATGTCCACTGAGCACTGCGTCAGTGGGGAGCAAATATAGAGGAATAATAAGAAATGATGCCCTGGCAGATTGTGTCATCAGGACCTAATTAGTTGCAGTGCAGGGGTTGTACTCGGCTCTCACCCCAACTACATTAAGCAGCCGAGTGTTTTACAGTCTGACACTGAGATCAGAGCAAACTGAAGGGGACCCATCAGCAAAGAGTCCCCCGTTGCTAGCAGGAGTTATGGCTGTGGTGTGACGCCGGTTCCTGGGCAGCATGGCCAGAGCAGGGCTTGCATCAGTTGCGATCTGCCTGCATAGGGAAGTTCTCACGTTTACAGAACAGAGAGCAGCTTTATTGTTTTATTTTGCAAACCAAAACCAGCCGGGAGTTTCTGAAGTGTCTGCCATCCCCGCAGAGAGCTGTTTAGTCATGCCTGGTGTGTATGCATGTGAGACTCAGTGTAGGGGAGGGAGTCTCTAGGACTTTGCAAAGATTAAAGATTTATGCTGACCCTTGAATCTGATCCAAGGCTAGTAATCTGCCCTGATCCTATCATCTGCTCAGGGTGGATCTATTTCACTTTCCTTTATGGTACTCCTGACTCACTCGACTCCCACTCCAGGCCAGTCAAGTGGGAATGGGAAGCACTACCACATATTTGTTTGGGTTTACATTTAAAGCTCTGGACCTGTAGTGGGTGCAGCTCATAAAGGAAACCAGTGTGGATAAGATATGGGTGAGCTGAATGCTTGGAAACCACTCCCAAATACAAGCTGAAGTGGTTTGAAATCAAGGTGGAGTGATGTACAGAAGGCACAATACTTGGCAGCTACACCCAACGTGTGAGAAAGGCATTTAAATCCAAGGTGGTAAGGTGGGCAGGGCATCCAGTGTGCTTCTGAGGGAAGCAGCTTATTGTCTTTCAGGGTCTGTAACCTCTCCAGTAGAGACCTGGGTACTGAAACCCTCCATCTGCCCACCAGTGCTCTCCACTTTGCACCACGGGGCTGTGGGAAGCTGTGCTGAGGATACTGCCTTCCCCCTGGCACTGCTCCACCTGGGAAATAGCTTGCTTATGCTCCATCACCCCATAGTGAAACACTCCTGATGGCTGCTGAGGATTTAGACTGAAAAACAAAATACAGACCTGATTTTGTGGAGGGCAGAGCAAATCTCCTTTGCCCTTGTGAAATAAAAAGAAGTGTGGCAGAAAGAGAAATAGGAGCTTTCCATCCCCCCACCCCAGCTCTCCTCTGCCTCAGCCACACGTGTCAGACTTGGTCTGGAGGAAGGCTGGGGTTGCCAGAGCAGCTTGGCCTGCGTGCCAGCCAAGCCGGGATGCATAACACCCACCAGGGCATTGCCAGCGGTACCAGGGCCACAGGCAGATAAGCAAACAGTATCAGTCATACGGACCTGGCCCGTGGCTGAACTGACCAGGAGAGGGAGAGCACGGTGTATCCTATTTCAGATCCCCTGGGACATCCTGTTCTCCTGATAGCTGATGATATGTAAATATAGCAAACGCAAAGCAAGGCACTTTGCTACCATGCCTTACTCAGGCTGCATACAGAAAGGGGCTGAAACCTAGCAGCGCAGTTGGGAACACCCATCTGCAACTGTGAAATAGGCATCACGCTTTATTTTTAGTTTAAAATGAAGTTCCTGTTTGTAAGGCCAGAAGGGTTACAGGAAAAAAAAAAGAATGATGAAGCGGGATCATTTACTGCTATTTTTCTTTACACGTGTCCTTCCTTCCTTCCTCCCTCCTGAGAAATAGGATGTAGCACATCGCTATTCCAGGCTGCAATATTCGCTCACAGGAATGCTGGTTTCTGCTCCCTCCGAAGAGGCCCATTATGCCTTGTGTAACAAAAGACACCAGCCTCCCAACCACACCAATTACCCTTGATTTCTAGTCGCTACATGACGGCGCTTATCTCATGTAAATGAAACGCTGTCTTCACACTGACTCGCACTTCCTTTCTCTTTCATCAGAGTTTTGGGCAGGGGTGAAAGGCAGGTCACGCAGTGGGACTGGGGAGCCCTCCCCATCTGATCGGCCCAATCCCCCTCCTCCAGGAGCTGCTCAGCCCCAGCAGCCATGGGGCACACCGAAACAACGGGAAGCATTTGGTCAGGTCAGCCAAATGAGCCTGTCTAACTAGCAAAGCCAAGCCCTAATTAGCCTGGTGGCTAACTCCTTGACCCAGCTCCCAGGCCCTGCATTTCTCCTGCAGGCAGGGGTCACCCAGACGCCATGGAAGGAGAGCTGCAGGGGTGCATTTTGGCAGGCACCCACACGTTTTATTCCCTCCCGTGCCCCAGAAGGGAAAGGTAATTGTGAGCTGACAGATGGGAGCCTGTGAGCTGCGGATGGGAATTCCCAGCTGAGGGGTTTCAAGAGCGGTGGGAGCTTTGGCGTATGGATTAGGTTGCTTATATATACTATAGTGTGAAGGAAACAGGCGGGTTTGCTAATTCCCTTGCACTTTAATTTAATAAAGTAGGATTTGTCTGGTGGGAAAGTGTAACAGTGGGATTTAAGCTGTGTGAGTCTCATGACTGGTGCCTAGTGGGGTGGGAAGAAGGGATGCATCGTTTGCATTCTCTCTCTCCTGTGTTCCTGTGTTTTTAAATACTATTTCTGAGTGCCCACAGCTTTGGATGAGCTTTATTTGGGATTAAGTTTATTAAAAGAATCTGTATGCATATACACTACATTCTGTAGCCTAGTTTTTTGAGAAACCAGTGTCCTATGTCTAGGGAGAACCAAGACGGCTTGGTTTGTAGGTGCCTTATGTCAAGACTCACATAAACTGAAGAAAGATAATGAGGGGAATGGATGGTGCACAGAGGCAGAAGGGGCAAATTAATATCTGATATAGCCTCTGTAGGGAAATGAGGTCCTTCTGGTTTTAATGAGAAAGTCCCCAATGGAAATTTTAAATCTGGATCTACATCAAATCCTCAAAGTTCAGGGAGCTCAGAATGAAGAGTTCGGTCCAGTCCATCGCACATCAAAGCTATCTGCAGAATTCACATCCTAACATTTTTTTCCAGTCATGAATTCTGCCAAAGATGTGTGCTTGGATATGAGGTATTTTTCTTCTTTTTCATCCCTTTTACTAATTTAATTCCCAGACCTAAATCAAATTTTTCCATCTCAGCCTTCCACAAGCTGGGATGCATTGTTTGCAGTTATGAAACTGTTACAGCTTCCCTATGCCCTGTATTGCATGTTGAGCTGTTGGAGATGTTTACCTGGCTGCAATAGCGATGACCGAGTGAAGAGGAGGCCTCAAGGATAGGCACTGGGCTGGTTTACGGTCAAATGCAGACAAAGTTTTCTGATGTGCTGGTGAGCAGCTCATTACATTGCTCCTGTCCTTATTTTCCTCATTATTAAAAGAGGATAAAGCCCAACCAATTATTGGGATATGCACAAATATGCCATTGATGAGGGGCCTGACAGATTTTCTGAGGAGCCTTGAAGCAGCAAGGCTCAAAAGCCACATGCTGGGCTCTCCCTTATTTTTATTCTTTGCTGTTTTCTTGGTTGTAGGATAAGAGCTAATCAGAGTGATGCTCTCCAGCAGACTTTTGTGTATGGCACTACAGTAAAATCCTAAATTTTCTTTCCTGCTCATGCATATAGAGCAGGAAGAACTAGGATGGCTGCAGACTATTTCTATTTTCAGATGATTTAGCCAAGGAAAAAACATCTGGATGGCTGAAAGAATGAGCATTTGATAGAAAGTAATCTTGAAGTGCCGCTCTCTGACATGACAGCATGCGAGGTGCTCGGCTTCCTGAGATAACTGCGCTCCATGAACTGCCAACAAGGAATGTAACTTCCAAAGGACACAACAGGACAACAAAGACAACCAGAGCATGCAGAATCCAATGCAAGTGAGACTGCAGAGCAGGCTAGGTGCTTCCTGAGGCACTCCCCTGCGTGCATTTCTGATCAAGAAATGGTTTTAGCATCAACATACGTAGAGTTCCTTCCGTTCAGTTTAGGACTTCTACTAGGTGCAGAGGCAATAAGTCCAGTATATGGTTGGTGTAACTCAGTGCAGCTCAACTGATTTGGTTCATGTGAGCATGTTTGTACCTGTAGATGTGTTGCTTCTTCCTCCACTAAAGCGAAGATGTCATCCGGGACTGGGCAGCTTCTCCACGCTGATGCTGTAGGACCGCAGCAGAGAGTGATACCTGAGCATTCACAGCTCCTTGGGCATCACTTCATCGTATCTGGTCTGCAGCTTGCAAGTGAAACTACAGCTCCTAGCACCTAAGATATGTATTGGCTGGCTGCTTGCTACCTTTGGGCACATCATTTCTCCCATCTCTGCCTCAGCTTCCCCGACTGCACAATGCCTTATGAAGTATGAAGGACTTTGAATTTCACTGATTAAAAATCATTAAATGAGACTATCTTGGCCTTCTAGCTTGATGTATGTTACCAGCCACTGTGGCTGGGAATAAATATTCCTCTGTTCTCCCATTTCAAAGTGATACCCAGTTCCCAGGATTATCCTCCTCCCTTGTCCATGACAACACTGGGAAAAAAAACCCAAGACGTTCCCACTGTGGTGGCTGGGGCTGACACGTGGACATTGTGTCTCTGTTTGTGTTAATTCGTCTCTTGTTAACAGTTCATGGCTGATCAAATCCCTTGCATTGGATTTATTACATGTAATAAAAGAGATTTACTGGACCCCACGGTGCCCATGTGCCCGGGGAACTCTGGGGTGTGGGTGACGGCGTTGCCAGGCTGGGGGGAACGTGCTGAGCAGGGAGCCAGCCCATGGTGAGGTTGAGGACGCAGGTGAGTGAGGATGAAGGCTTTGGGCAAGACGACAGTTTTGGTGAGGTTGCATCCCCCTCTGCTGGAAAATCCAAGTAAAAGCAGAAGTGCATCCGCAGGCCAGGGAGAAAACTGGGTTGAGAAAAAGAGAAACGTGCAAAGAAAGGAAGCGAGCTCCGGTCCCCCCCTTCTCATTTGTGTCAGGCATAATCCCACTCCCCATCATGGGAATGGGCAAGCGGGGCAGGGGCAGAGGCTGCTCAGTCAAAGGGGAGATGGGTGGAGAGGAACTGGGCATTGGGTGTCCCCATAGGCGTGACCTGTGCAGGGTTTTGGGACACTAGGCTGGGTGACACCATGGGTCAGGCAGGTCCTGACTGTGTGGCAAGCTCAGAGAGCAGGCAGAAAACTGTGAGCATAGCTAAGCAGAATTGCATAGACAAAGTCAGTGCTTTGATGCTGGATTTGTAGCCCAGGTGGTACTGAGGAGCCATGGCTGATGGGTACTGAGAGGCAAAACACCTTGGAGAGACTTCAGTACATAAGGAAAGCTGAACCATATACACTAAAATTTATCAGGAAGGGTGCTGCAGTCTATGGTTTATTGCCATGTCACGGTAGGGAGCCATGCTTCGAACCAGAGGCTGGAGAGAATGCCTCGCTGGCTTGTCCTGATGGGTCACCTCTTATCCTCTGTGGCAGATACTAGTGGCTGTCAGGCAGTGTGTCAGAGGTGAAGGTGCTCTGGGGAAACAGGCAGCAGTGAGAGACGTGCCAAGCAGCAGCAGGGAGCTAGGGAGGGGGTTTTGTTTCTAGGCACAGATGTATGAAGGCACTTTGGCGTACAGGCAGTTCCCTGGCACCCTCTCCTGCCAGGCTGTGAGGGCACAGAGCTCCCTTACCCTGAGTACTGCTGCTGGAGCTCGTTCTTCCTCCCTGCCAGGCCAGCAGGCTGGGACACAGGGCTCATGATAGCCAAAGTGGGGTGAGTGACTCTGGCAGCAGTAGAAGCTCATCACCCTGGCCCCAAGGATCTGTAAGAAGTTGCTGCTATGGACTTCGCCTTGGTGCTGGGTTCCTCTACATTTGGTAGTACACGTGTCTGCACAGAGCTGGAAGCTCAAGGCTCTACGTCCTTCTTTCAGAGAGGCTCACTTGGAGACTCTTTGGGATTAGACTTAACACTGGAAGAATGGCTTTGTTTCCTTTTAGATTTAAAATCTAAATTACAGAAAAGGTGAAATGTGGTGACTGAGCTGGCAAAGGCCTTGACAGTGCAATAAATCTGCAAGCGTGGGCCTGGCTTTTGCGCAGGGGTCTGTGCAAGTGCCAAGGTCTCTGTTAATAAATCTGACTGGAGGACCAGGAGGAAACTTTTTTTTTAACTTACTGCTAACAGCAGGCTCTTTTTTAACCATCATTTTTTCCCTGCTCCCTTCTGCTGATTCATGCTCCTGCTGCTTCGCCACGGGTAGACGCCAGCATTCCTGAAGGTCATCACTTGCATGCAGCAGCTCACACTGCAAAGTGTTTGCCAGCATCTACAAAATCAAAATGCTAAAGTGACTGTGATCATTTATATTTGCACTGTCAGTGATGGAAAATCTTACAGCTTGCCAGCCTCGTTGCTGCCACGTTTCCAGTCTGCTAGACTACTAGAAGGTAAAGCTGGGGCATGAAAGGTAATGCCTCCCAATAAACCTGACACCAGATCATTTCAGTGGCACAACAGCCTGAGGATTCTCCCCTGGGCTCATGTATAGGCAGTCCTCTTGGAGATTTGGAAAACTTAGGGGCCAAGCATGCACCCCTCTGACATACACCCAACCCCTTCTATGATCCCGTGACACTGGGAAATGAGATACTTGTGCTCACATCAGGTTTCACACAGGAGTCATGCCTCTGCCTGTAGCCTGGGGAAGAAGAGCTGTGCTTCTCTCACTGGCACCTCCCTCCCCTTCTGTGTCTTTCCTCCCCAGACCTTATGCTGTCTTGGGCCGCAGAAAAGAGGCAGGACTGAAAGGCATGCTAGCAGCATGCAAACATCTCTAGGAGCATAAGTTATGATTTAGTTTACAAGGCGTGTCTCCCTCAACGGCAAAGGAATACTTCTGGTTTAGCTCCAGCAGTAACAGCACAATAGACATGTTTCTTCTTCAGGAAAGCTGGGGGGAAGACACAGTGAAATCCTTCCTTTTCTTCAGGTTCTTTAGTGAGTACTTATACTGTGGCAGTACTCATAAGTCTTGCAAAACACCAAGCCCTGAGTAAAACTACAGGAAGACACAGTGTTATAGGCTGTCTGGTGGATTTGGAAATCATCAGTTACTTTAATGTCCATCTTTTGAGAGGCGACCACTAATCTTCCCTTTCCTTTAAGCATCTGTAACATGGGGATAACACGTATCTCATATGCACTGTCATCTGCCTCTGTTTCTTTTGCTAATATTTTAAATGGGACTTGAAAATGCAGAGCTTGAAGCAGACCCCACCTGCCGGTGCTGTGGGGCAAAGCTCTTGGGCAGCCGTACACACGGATTCTCCCTAGCTTCCCAAGCTCAGAGAGCTGCTTTCCCCCTTGACAGGGGAGGATGCCTGACCTGAAAGCACCCACAGTTTCTAAGGCATTTTACAAATGGCCATCTCAACCTTCTGGGAAGAAAATGAACTTCTAAACGAACTGACAGCACTAACAGGGTGCGTGTATTTGCCTCCTCAAAGTACAAAACATGAATGAGCAGAAATGCAAAATCTCAGAGCAATATTAACATTATTATTTTGCTGTGGTTCCTTGCTCAGCAGCAAGGGAAAGTACCACACAGCAGGCTTCTGTAACTCATCAAATCAATTAGTGTCTTCATCTGCATCAGCCAGTGGGAGTAGTCTGTAGCCAAAGACAAATTAAAGAAACGTCCAGTAAGATATTCTATTTTGAGAGGAGCTGTCCTATTTTCTCGTGCTAATGACAGACTCAAAACTCTGTGCACAATTTAGCTCGTTATTAGAACTAATTGGTGCCAGGCATTCCATCCTCTTTGGTACGGCTAGCCATGGGTATGAAATTTTCTGAGTTAATAAACCACAAAATGGATTAAGAACTTTCAAAGTGCAGTTCGTATCACAGCTTAATTGGAAGGAGAATGTTAGTTGGCTTTTTATGGATACAAAAGGAAGCCATGTTTTGGGGTGGAAAAGCACATGCACAGCCGCCTTCCCTGGCACCGGGGAGCTGGGTAATTTCTAATTGCAGTGCCACAGAGTAGTGGCATTTGATGGCAGGCACCTTCCACAAACGCTCTGCAGCATGCTGTGCAGCCCATGGAGCCAAGGACGAGAACAGGCTTTTTTCTCTGCATGTAGTACTTACTCCTTTGTGCAGAAAGAACCAATTAGTACAGCTCTCCCAAGGTCAGGAGCTGCCGAGCAGAAAAAGAGCAGTCAGGGTGGTGTGACTCCTCCTGATGTGGCCAGCATAGCTGATGCCAGCCTACCATGTGGTCCCAGTGATTTTATACCAATCTCATTCTGGCTGCTTCTTTGCCCCTCTTTTCCACTGTTCAAAGAGTACAATGATGTGTGTGTGTGTGTCCCTTTTCTTACTCATTGGCTCAGAAAAATAATGCAGTGTGATTTAGAGAATCCCCTGGCAGCGAGGCAGGAGGAGAACCCTTTGCAGGTGTCCCAGGCACAGCACGTAGCCTCGGGAGGGCACTGCACACAGCGCTTGGCTGCCTGAAATCCATCAGCTGCATATGCTGCTGCTCTCTCTTCATCAAGGAGCACAAAGGCAACCCGCCAGCTGCATGCATTAGCATCATGGCCTGCCTGTGTTTAAAAGCAGTTCCTATATGATTTTTGTTAGTGAGGGGCTAAATTAACTAAGCTGTAACATATCTCTGAGAAAAAAAAGGAAAAGGACTGTTAGCTTCTGCTGGCACTGGTTTATATCTGGTGCTGTATTTACTGCTCTTGACAAATATGAGCAATGCCAAGCAATGCCAAAACTCCCAGGTACTGATTGTACAGCTTCATTGTGTGCTCTTATGCACCGTCTGAGCTGCTTGGCACCTGTCTGTTCATTAATCAACCTCCACAAAACTACTTAACCTGCTTCCCCTGCTCCCCTTGGAGCTAGGATTTCTGTGACCAGGTAGGTTCAGCCAGGGGCAACGGGGAAACAGAGACCAGCCTGTGCTGGTCCTTCCTCTCCCAGTGCAGTGCTGGGGTGGCGAGGAACAGGCTTTTGCCTGCGTTGGGCGAGCCTTTTGTGGTTATGCAGGTTGCATGGCTGCCACTGCCATGGAGCAGGTGCCCCAAGAGTGGGTGAGTGTCTGGAGGCTGAAGGTTTCCAGCTTTGCCCAGCCTACTTTGCACTCCAGTTCTCATTATGGAGGAAGGTGGTCTTCAGCCTGACCTTGGTGCCCTGAAAAATGCTGCAGAATACTGAAGCACAGTGAGCTAACAAAGTACGTCAAAGAGCTGTGACCCTGCTCTCACCCTTCACACAACAGCTGAGGTCCTTACTGTTTGTAAAATACTTTGAGAACCATTGCAGGACAGCGCAAAACAGAAGCTGTTTTCCACCCTATTGACAACCAAAACCATCTTTAACATCCATTAATATCTTTTCATTTCGGTCATGAAAAGTTTTCTGCAACATCATAAGAAATCCCAAAGAAAAAGATTTGACTTCAGGTGAATGGAAAACATTCCTTGTGCATCTCATAGGCTCAGCTCATGTCCCTCCTGGCTTGGCCTCACACTGCAAAAGTCACCGCTGAGCTACCTGGAAAGCTGGAGCTACACAACTTGTCAATGACAGAAACACTGGGATCCTCATCAATGTCCCACTGGGGGCAGATGTTTGGAGAGGTGAGGTATTTATTATGTACATCAAGATGCTTAGGGCT